ATGAGACACTTTCTCGTAATAATGACTTAGTTTCTCGTAATAATGTCACAAAATTAAGATTCAAACCCTATTAAAACCCTTTTCTGGGACACTTGAAATTTTGCTCAGGAGCATTCATATATCACTTGTAGATGTTACTACTCTTCGAGTGGCATTAACCTGTGGCAAATTCAATAGAATGGGTATGATTTAGAAAGACACACACCTCTCAATAAAAGGTCTAACAGCTGAAAATTCATATCAGAGCAAACTCCAAGCCCTGAGGTCAAAATAACTGCCTGTAGAGCTCAGAAACAGGATTGTGTCAAGCCACAGATCTGGGGAAGATTTCAGAAACAAATTCTGCTGAACTGAAGGTTCACTGAAATATTTAGCCTCAATTATTCATAATGGAACACGTTTGGAACAACTAGTACTCTTCCTAGAGCTGGCCTCCTAGCCAAACTGAGCAATTAATGGAGAAGGGCCCCGGTTTTTTGCAACAAAGCAACTAAAAGACTCGCAGATAACAAGATTGTCTGGTCTGATGGACCTCAATTCAAGAATCGTGTTTGAACAATTCAAGAATCGTGTTTGAAGGAAACCAGGCACTGCTCATCACCTCTAGAGTACCATCCCAAAAGGAAAGTGTGCTGGTAGCAGCCTCATGCTGTCGGGCTGTTTTTCAGCGGCAGGGACTGAGGGACTCGTAAGAGAAGGAAAGCTCAACGCACCAAAATATTGAGATAGCCTTAATGAAAACCCAGTCCAGAGCATTCAGAACCTCAGACTGAGCAGAAGGTTCACCTTCCAACAGGACAATGACCCTCAGCACACAGCAAGAGTGGCTTATGGACAACTCTGTGAATGTCCTTGAGTGGTCCAACCACAGCCTATAGGCTTAAACCCATCAAATATTTCTGGAGAAACCTGAAAATGTCCGTCTGCCCCCATCCAAGCTGACAGAGTTTGAGAGGTGAAGAGGTGAGGAGAAGAATGGCAGATAATTGCCAAATGTACATGTGCAAAGCTTGTTGCATCATATCCCAAAAGACTTGAGGCTGTAAAGGTGCTTCAACTAACTACGGTGTTTACAAAAATGACACTGTGAAGCTGCTGCATCTAATTTGAATATTCAAATATTTTTACATATCAGAAAGGGAAACATCACCATTTTTGATGATTCATGTTTTTAACCACTGCATGTGCACAGACCGTGCACTTGACATTCAGAACGATTTAAAAATGACTGTAATAACCAATCCAGCACAAATTTGTCTCTGCAACATGAGATGTGTCTGACTACTTTCTTTTTTTTTTGTCTCACACACTGTGGCTGCTGACTGGTCTATTGCATCAGGCAGTCAGTTCTTTGTAATTGTGACTCCAGAGATCCCCCTTCTCAAGCTTTGGACTCTCCAGGATGAGTAATAGAGGCTGGGGCCATGCTGGCTGCCCTCCCACAACACACCAGCCCCTGCTGCAATCATATGCAATCCTCTCATTGCCAAATAGTGCTGTGCTTGGTTGCCTAGAGACCAAGGTCACCTGGGTAAAGGCACCTTAGAAGAGGAAGACACCATAGCAGCGCAACATACAACTACCATCATGCTTCCAGCTACCAACCCTTCCTCAAACTGCTCTCAGATCTGTTGCTTTCAAACCAGCACTGTTTCAACAAGCAAAATAAAGTACAACCAGTCAGCTATTGCTAATATAGTGTTAAACACTTTCATAATAGCATGTGTCCACCTTTGTGTTATCAATAAATGTGTCTGAAATGCAATCTAATTAACTCAAGGACAAAGCATCATTAAATTAGACCCCGCAGTCTGTTGTCACGGCATGAAAGATTGCGTAAACGATTGCTTGTCTTTGCACCATGCAAGCTCGTGTTGCAGCTGATGTGTCGAGGGGAGATGCTAATTGATTTCTCCTCATGAGAGAGTGTTTCATCACGCTTTGTTTTTAACCCTCTCTTACAGGGGCTGCACATGACGGTCTCGCAGGAGTTCTGCACCTCTACAGTCAGAGTCTGAGACACAGTGAACTAGTAAGATGAACCATAACAAATGAGCCAGTACACAGTGTGCAAGGAAACAACTGTACATTCAACAAATGCAGGATGTGATAGAACATTTGAAGAGTAATAGTGTATAAAACAGGGGAAAAAAAGCACAAAAAAAAAACTTGCTGTCATTTAATTTATTCTCAGGTAAAAACGGCAATGATCCGTGAAGTCAAATGTAACAAACATCTTATAACAGCATTTATATTCATTTACATCATATAACAGTTTACATCATATAACAGTTTTTGTAGGACATATGGTTTAGGATGTAATTTACATATTCACCACTGCTCAAAAGTTTGGGGTCTGTAAGATTTTTAAATGTTTTTAAAAGAAGTTTCTTATGCTCAATAGGCTGCCTTTATTTGGTCAAAATTCAGTTAAACAATAATATTGTGAAATATTATATACTCCAGAAACATTTCTTAATATTATCATTGTTGAAAATTGTGCTTCTTAATAATTTTGAAGAAACTGTGATGCCTTTGAATGTGTCCTTGCTGAATAAAAGTATTTAAAAGTATAATATTATGAAAAAATCTTACCGAGTGCAAACTTTTTAACAGTAGAGTATTTGAACAAATATATATATCTATATATAGAAAAATGTAAACATTGAGGTGCATTGTAACTTGATCTTGTTATATCTTTTTTTTTTTTTTGCATTTTGTCAACATAATGAATAATAAAAAAGCAGCCTATTTTCACACCATTTAAAACCATTGGAATAAACAAGGTATAATTTACCCAAAAATGAAAATGGTTATATTTTACTCATTCTCACGTCATTTCAAACCTGTGACTTTCTTTCTTTTGTTAAATACAAGAGGAGATATTTTGAAGAATTATTACTGAACTCTTTTTTGTTTTGAAGAATTATTACTGAACTTTTAAAATTAATTTTTACTGAACTATTTTGTCCATACAATAAAAGTCAGTGGGTTCCAAAACAACACTGGACCCTCTGACTTTCATTATATAAGAAAAAACACCATGCCATTTTTCAAAAAGTCTTATTTTGTGTTTCACATGAAAAGATAATAAAGTTTTGGAATTGGCAATGGCATGAGGGTAAATGTTGGCAGAATATTCATTTTTAGGTGAACTATCTCTTTAAATAAAATAACACTAGTCTAGAACTCCAACATATCAAACATTTGTTTTAAATAATAATGTGTGTGATCAGTCACACTGAAGAGTCTGTAAGGCATAGCAAAAAAACAAAAAACAAATCAGTAGCAACAGCAGTAGTAACATTCAGTAGCAGTCAAGGTACAATGTGTGTTGGGACACAGCAGTGAGGTATAAATGTCAATTTAAGTCAATATAGCAGTCTAAAGGCTGGCCAGGGAACTATACGATCAATAATTACAATCAGAAACCGATTTTTGCCAATCAAGGGCTGGTTACTTCTTCTGTACTCTGTCCTTATAGGCCCACAGCTTTTCCCTGTGTGACAAACTAAAACAGTAGCCAATGGCCTTCTCAGTTTCACTGATTCTCTTTCGGAAACGGTCTCTGTCCCTTGCAAACACCTCCCACGGTCCCTTACGAGATGCTTGAAAAGCAAAGGACCAAGCTTGCATCTTGTGGACTTGTACGATAGGAGAAAATTTCACCTGGAAAACATTAGCAACATGCCGTTAGCAAGCAATGATTGACAGCTGACATAAGCGCCATAAAGGTGCGGTCAGATTAGCTCATTTTTGGCAAACTTTTGCAGGCAAAATGGTCAATAGTGTCAATAGTGGTGTGATGTATGAAGCACAGCTCACACAAAAATCACTTTTAAACCAAGCAGCTTTCTGCTGGTCAGCTTGGCAAGTTTGCGAAATCTGTGTGGAGAAATTTAAATTCCCAATCACGAAAATTCGCTAAACAACAGTGACCACACCTTAAAGAGATTGTTCTCACAAAAATGAAAATTTTTGTCATCATTTACTCACCCTCGTGTCGTTCCAAACCTGTATGGAGTTTCTTTCTTATGTTGAACATAAAAGAAGATACTGTGTAGTAGGGCTGCACAATTAATCGCATTTCTAATCGCGATTACAATTATGGATGCCACAATTACGTAATCGTTCAAAGCGGCAATTAATCATTCAAAGTCCACTTAAGTTATTCTGTGTGATTAAGATGCTTTTTTGTTTCTTTCTACATGTTATCTTAAGGGTTTTTCCATTGTTTTAATTTTAGTATAACACTATAAATACCATTTATATTTTTTTTATAATTTAAAGAAGAACCCAATCCGATGTATAGTTGACATTTGAGGCTTAATACTATAGAAAAGCACTAAAAGTTTTTCAGTTAGAGTGTTTTCAGCTTGTTTATTTTCATATAAAAATACGGCTTGCAGTTGCATCAAACAATGGTATAAACATCATTCAATGTAAATTGTGATAATCGTAATTAATAATCGTAAATCAACAATTATGATTTTTTTCATAATCGTTCAGCCCTATTGTGTAGAATGCTGGTAATCAAATAGTTGATGGTCCCAATTGACTTCCATCGTAATTCCTCCCCTCCTATGGCAGTCAATGGGGGCCTGTTTGGTTCTTCAAAATATTTTTCAACAATTATGATTTTTTTCATAATCGTTCAGCCCTATTGTGTAGAATGCTGGTAATCAAATAGTTGATGGTCCCAATTGACTTCCATAGTAATTCCTCCCCTACTATGGCAGTCAATGGGGGCCTGTTTGGTTCTTCAAAATATTTTTTTTTTGTTCAACATAAAAAAAGAGCGACATGAGGGTAATTTAATTAAAATTGTAATTGTAATTAAATGATGACAATTTTCATTTTTTTGGTGAAATATTTCTTTAAGACCGATAATTACCTTCTTAAAATTGGGACATTTCCTTTGGTTGCCCTGAAGAGCAGTCAGACCAACATGTCTTCTCCATGGCACCACTGATAATGTCTCAACTGGTAATTTGTGGCAGCAATGGCGAGCAACTTTACTTGATGGCAACTGTGGCTTTGAGCGTCTTGAAGATTTTAAGAGTCTATTGGTTTTATTTTGTGTGTTGTCACTGGGCGAATCGTGTTTTGAATGTACTGATGTAGCTGGTGAGCTTTGAAGAGGGGCTCTGAAATTCAGTGGGTGATATGGGTCATGATTCTGAGAGAGGGATCTCCATAAGGCCTCTTCTTCTTCATCTTCAGAACCTGGTTTGGAAGAATCAGAGCCTGTAGATGCAGTGGATTGTGATACAGTGGGACTTTCAGCCTTCAAAACCACCTGCGTTTTGCTTTTTTCAGGAACCACACTGGACAAACATGCCGTGAAGTGTAGAGGGTGATATGGATCAGTCGAGCTGGTCAGAAGGTCCCAGAGTTTGTCATTCTCCTCTCGTTCTCCTTCAAAACAAGAGCTGTCTGTGCTTCCCCAGCTGAACTCGCTGTCTGAGGATTGACCGACTGACTGCACTTGACATGGAGCTTGAGCCTCCTCTGTAGATGAACTACATGAATCAGGATCACCGATGGGCTTCTGATGCTTTACAAACTCCTTTGCAGAAAACCCAGACACATGTGCAGTAAACGTGCAGGTGTTCTCTCCGCATTTCCTCTCTGATCCTCCTAATAAGGTCCAGTCGTATCCATGTTTCCACATGGAGTGATCTCCAATATAGTGGTCTTCAGTGTCATTGAGACACTCTGTTGCGTGGGACACAAGGTCGTCCACCAAGGAGCAACAGAGTTCATCGCTGACCAGACTGGACAGGACAGCTCTGGAGTGAGAGCTCACGTCAAATGGGTCCCTGCCGAATTTTGAAAGTGGACTGGAACCCCCGACCACCATGTTTTTGTTGTTTTCAAACAAGGATGAGAGCAGGAAACCATCAGAAGGGTCTCCTGACCCACTTGTCATGTGCTGAATGTGTTGCCCTGTCTCGTCTGTAATTCTCAGATGGACTTCAAACCTGAACATCTGGAAAACTGGGGACCAAACAAAGAGTTACTAAAATTACCTTAGGCCATAAATAGAGGCCTTTCTCATAATTAATAATAGAACTGTATAATTGGATGGATGGAAGGATGCATGGATGGATAGATGGATAGATAGATGAATGATATGTGTTTTTAATCAATAATAAAATGTTAAAATACTGATAGAAAAATACAATCCATATTATCCATAATATTTAATGGAAAGTTTTTGTCCCTTCTCATAAAGTAAGTAAATAATAATAATAATAATATGTATGAGTGTATAATACTACTAATAATAATAGTTTAATGAATAATAAAATTAAATATTAATGATAAAAATGATAGTATAAACATAATATAAATAAATTAACCAGGTAAAATTGAATAAATACTCAATTATATTATAATAAACAAAAACACTGCAACCCGGAGTTATTTGGTTTAAAATGCAGTATTGCATCACTATTAATGTTAGAGCGCGAGAGAGAGAGAGAGAGAGGGAGAGAGAGAGCGAGGGGGTCACATCACAAACACATACCAGCTTCATCACTGTGTCTGTCACGCGACTCTGTTCCCCTTTCGGGCTCTGTCTTTACATTTATTTTGAAAGATGAAGCTCGCGATTATGGTAAGGGGCGTTACATTTCCGACGAGTGCTTGCGGTGTTCGGCCAATCACAATGCACTGGGTCAGCTGGCCAATCAGAGCAGACTGTGCTTGTCGGAAGGAGGGACTTTGTAGAAAACTAAGCGTTTGAGAGAGGCGGGGCATAGAGGACCTACAATAATGTACAGTATTTGAAAAATAATGTGTTTTTTGAACATTAAAGCATGTCAACATATTCTGTTACACCAAATACACAAAATAATGATCTTTAAAAAAAGCATCATATGACCCCTTTAAATATTTCGTATACCTGTGATTTTTGTGGTCAAGAAAAAGAAACTATTTTGCAGCTTTTTTTTCTCCATTGTATTTACTCAAGATTATTTTGGAAGGATTTGGAATTCTATATTAACAGAAAAAAATATGTATATTTGATGTACTATTTTTATACATAAAATGAAAATGTGAATTATAAAGAACAACATATTATCCACTTGTTTATTTTGTTAGGAAAGTTCCATATACATAAGAAGAAGTGGGCTCAATGTAAACCACATTTTGCACATTTTATAAATGACTTTAAATTATATGCAAATCTCTTAGAACAAACAAAAACAAAAAAGCATTGAAAACTTTATGTAATTTTCCTGTGTATATTTGATGTACTATTTTTATACATAAAATGTGAATTATAAAGAACAACATATTATCCACTTGTTTATTTTGTTAGGAAAGTTCCATATACATAAGAAGAAGTGGGCTCAATGTAAACCACATTTTGCACATTTTATAAATGACTTTAAATTATATGCAAATCTCTTAGAACAAACAAAAACAAAAAAGCATTGAAAACTTTATGTAATTTTCCTATTTTTTTTCTCTGGCAGCTAATAATGTTAATTTGATAATATGAATATGTAATACCTCATGTTCTTGTGGCATTGAATTATTTAAAAAAAGCATGAAGCAACAGGTTTACATATTACTACTATTACATCACGCAGTTACAGTAAGCATACTATGTAATCGTGGAAATATATTTCAGACCCATAATTATTAATTTATTTATTTTAATGATAAAATAAAGATTGAATGAAGGGAAAAACATATAACGTTAAAAATATAACCAGACTGAATCAAAGTCCCTTTAAGGCATTTTGAATTGTGCATAAAACATAAGATTTTTTCAGATAAGGCCTCACTAATTATTGCCGAGGCAAATTTCAAACCACGCTATTTTGAACATTGCTCTACTACTAGAAAAAACACTGTAGAAAATTACGAGATATAAAGTATATGTCAGAAGGTCATATATTATATTAATTTAATCCGTAACAGATTTATTAGTAAGTAACAGGCCTCAATAAGAAAGTGCAACCTAATACACTTAAATAAAAACTGCTGCCCAGATTACAAATATGCCTAATTTAATATTAGGCATAACATTTTAAATTTAAACTTAAGTTAGTGTTTTCATTCATTTTCCTGTGCATTACTGTGGTACAAATATTTGTGACAGACAAAGCCGCTAACTGTAGCCTATGTAGCCTACTTGACAATTACTTTACAGGTCGCAAGTCAAATACATGGAGTAAACCTCAAATGCCTAAATGCGATTTTAATCTACCAATGTATTATTTGAATGGAAGCAGTTGGAATTCATGAATTCATGATGAATTCATGACGATTGGAATCATCTCTATCCTTTCGCATTGTTTTTCCATCCTCAAAATACAAAATGTACATCTACAGCAGCCCTGTGTGACTGTCAAGGAGCAAAAAATCATGTCAAAATCGTGTCAAATCATGCATACTTCCTTATCAGTAAGCTCTCACCCCAGTGACAAAGCAAATGTGTGCACTGGCCTGACTGCTTGTCTCTTTTTCTCCAGATGCTTTCTCACAGCAACAGCCTGTTTTAACGAGGTGGTACAGAAACGCTGGCAGACCTGAGGTCAGGCCTTTTAGACCTTTAGAATTTTACTGCCAATGACAAAGCGCACCTGGGCCACACCACAAGAGTCCCTAAGGATCACACCAACACCTCAGCAGAAATCATTAGTGTGTGAGGGTCAGAGCTTTAAAGGTGTAGTCCACCATATCATTTGAAACTTTTTGACTTTATTTTCTTCTGTGGAACACAAAAAAAGATATTTAAAAGAATTTTGGGAACTAAACAGATTTGGTTACCTTTTACTTCTTCTATCATTTAGTCAAAGAGGTTTAGAACAACACGACACGGGTAATTCAACATGAGTACAATTCACCATAGTTGCTCAACATGCCTAAATGAAGACAATTTTCTTTTTTGGGGTAAACTATCCTTTAGCCACAAATCACCAGTGTTGTTATTGTTATCTAGAACTATAATCATTTTAATCTTTAATTGAAATCAAGCAGAAATAAAATAAAAGTGTCATAAGAAAAACTTAGTTAACTAAAAATAATTTTAAGCTGAAGTACACAAATTACTAAAACAATTTAAAAAAGGTTGAATATAATAAACAAAAGCAAAATAAAAATAAAAAGAACGTAAAATTACTATAATAAAAAAAAGAGAATAAAAAATTCAAAGCTAGTTCAAAATATCAATAATTACTATAATAGTATATAGATGATAAATAAAATAACAATAGATAAAATAATACCGGAAATCACAGGGCATGAAATTAACTTGTCTTCATCAATGACAACAAGAATATTAAACCTTATTATAATATATAATAATAAAATAATATAAGTAACTCACTGTATAACAAAATGAAAACAGTTTCAACCAAATCTGAAAATATTAAAGTGCAAAAGGAAAAAACAGCTGTATGTTTCTTGCCTGCCCCCTACTGGTTCAAGTACATTTTTTATCTCAGAACAAAAATTATACAGAGAGGTGTTCAAAAACATTTAATTTTCCTTAAGAGAGAGTAAGAATTACAGCAAACATTGATTCGGTCAGGTTAAGATAACCAATAAATAACTGGCCATGTTAATATCCATTCAAAATGTATTTTTAACAGCCATAAAACAGCGAATCAGATCACTATTTGCAGAGTGAGTGATGACAATCTTATACATCTTTTTAAAAATGCTTCCTGGTAAACTCACAGATTACGATTCAGCTGAGCTCTGGCAGTAGCTTTTAGCCACAGGTGCTGTTCCCTTTTTAAAGAGGGGTTATTACACAAATTCACTGGTGGATTAAAAAAACAGCTCGACCAACTCTGTTCACACCATGGGAAGTACATACTACATTATCTTACAAAACAGGGCCTTTGTTAAACCACAAATGTACTGAGAAGAGCGAAAATGAAAGGAGAGCGTGTGAAGGCACCCTGTTATTGTTCCCTAAAGGGACGTGGTCATGAGTTTGTTCAGTTCACTTGGCACATTATCAAGAGCACAGTGAACTCTACTGTGCTTGTTTTGATAGCTCAAAACCATACAGACTTTTAATGTGTCTTAATTGCATATGTAGAAAACAAAAGTGTAAAAATTAGCAGTTTTAAAAATACAGGTGTCAATCTCTCTCTATATGTATAATAATATAAACTCTTCTTTAAGTAAGCCGTTTGGTCCTCTTAAGTTCCAAATGTACAGAACACAAATGTTGAATTCACACATCAATTTAGGTGGTTTGATTCTTTCGACAAAGACTCAACCTTGATTAGTGTCATAGAGAGAGAGCGAGCGAGAGAGGGATGCTGGGGAATGTGAAGTGGTCCTGTAAGGGCACTTGATGCAGACACATCACCTTTTGTGGAAGACTGGTGGGGAGGAATCGTTGGATCTAAAAGTAGGGCACCGTTGTGAGCTTGTACCACTTGACGGTCTCTCTGCTCAGGTCAAAGTCTTTAAGGCTGAGGGTGATGCCACCCAAATAGCAGTTCTCTCGCAGAGACTCCGCACTGAGCACGCTCAGTTGAAGCTCCCTTTGTTTCAGGGTTTCCTTACTGTAGCCGCTGTACACCAGCTACGAGCAAAGAGAGAAGGAAGTTGTTAATTAACTTTAGAATAAAGCATGCATGGTTAAATAGGCAGGTTTTACTTACCATTTCATTAAATGTCGGGTTCCTAGTTTTCCTGGCAATCTTTGTTTTGCGTTTGGATGTTTTGTGGGGGTCTGGGAGAAGGTATGTTTTCACATAAGGGTTTGGGTCTGCACCGTCATTTGATATCTGTGTTTGGGAGAAAAAAAACGAATGAGATTTTGGAATAAACAGGAACTGGCATCAGTTTAAAGACAGGTGCTTTTGATATTTCTTACCAGGTCTTTAATGTGCATGACCATGATGAAGAGTGTGCTGTTTCGGTAGGACACTGACAGCTTCACCTCACCCTCCACGCGGCCGGTGGTGGGACTCACTGGAGGCATATCTGCCAAACAGTCATCAAACATATGAAAACAATCATGATAATGTGGTGCGTTCAACTCTAATCTTTAAAATACATTAAAAAAAGATGAGATTCAAAATATGACACACATACCTGGAGTTTTAGAGAGTCCTTCAACCCCCTCGGTCTTGTCATCTCTCGCAATAGGGTGGAAGAAAGTGTAGATAAGATCACACTAAAAAAAAAAAATCATTTACTACACAGTTACACTACTGTTCTAAAGTTTAGGTTCAGTAAGATTTTTTTCTGAAAGAAATTATTACTTTTATTAAGCAAGAATGCAATTGATCAAAAGTGACAGTAAAGTTTCAATTTAATGCTGTTCTTTAGAACTTTCTATTCATCAAAGAATCTTATAAGAAATCGAGATTAAAATTTAACTTTAATCTTAATGTCTTTCAGTATTGATAATAATGTTTCTTGAGCACCAAATCAGCACATGAAAATTATTTCTGAAGGATCATGTGACACTGAAGACTGGAGTAATGGCTGCTGAAAATTCATTAAATCAAATAAATTACATTTTAAAATTCTAAAATAGAATTATTATGACTTGTAGAACATAAAAGTCTCTTCAAAAACATTTAAGAAATTCTGACCATGTTACTAAAAACCAATGAATATTCATTTGAGTGACATAATTGGTTGCCTCATCACTCCCAGAGATTAACCAAAAAAACACTACAATTCTATTTTATAATATATTAAAGCAACAACTGTGTAAGTAAAATTTCAATTCACCCACCTGGGTGACTTCTGTTGAGCTCCTCATCAGATTGTGCACATAGCTGCTCAATTCCACCTTCCTTTTGGATGCCACATCCTTGATATGTGTACGACCCAGCACCATTTTACTGGGAAATCTAGAAACAGGAAAACGACTCTTAGGAACATAGAAGTTTAGAATTTGACCAACCACGGTACAAGAGGTGAACTCATATACCCCGGCAACTTCCACAGAGGGAAAAGGATGGTCAACTTGTTGTGCAGTTCCTGGAACTCATCAAAGGTGCGGAAGACAAACTGCGGCTCATTCTGACCTTCCCTAAGGATCCGTATAACGTACGTCTGAAAGATATGGAAGAAAAAAAAAAGGTAAAATTAGGAAAATATATTTTCTTGAAAAGACGATACTAAGCATATTTACAAAAGAATAATTGATTTTGTAATAATTTTGATGAAAATTAAATCATTTTTGTTATTACAACATAACAAGGCAACAAAATATATTTCTGTCATGCCAACTCTTGGAGGGATTGGCATGGTAATGTACATGACAATGTTAATGGATTTGGTCTTGGCGGAATAGATCTGCTACGCTGCTGCGGCAGAGCAAGTACAGAGACTTGCTACTGCCAATACATCCACAACATGCTGCTGTGAGCATGTAAGAAATACATACATGAAATAATCCAATATGGCATACATGAATCACCTCGTAGCAGATCTATACAGGTGGAGCTGGGGAAGGTGGAGGGTTTCTGAAGCAAGCTGCAACTGCTACACAAACACTAGTCATATATTTGAATGTTGAGCAGCGAGCTCATTGGCTACTGATACAGGAGAGAACCAATCAGCTGTGCCATGTGATAATGATGTCATTAGGTCAGATTGAGTTAGACCTATCGGACTGCCAGAGGCATCTCGAATCCTGCCATCCTGCTTCATAGTGTATGTCCGGGGAGCGAAGGAGAGGATTGGCTCGTCATTGGAGGGAAGCCCAGAGAATCGCAACTGGGCCAGATTATGGATAAAGAAATTAAACTTTGTGGCCACACTGCCCAGACTGGATTCAATCAACCTATAAGAAAAAAGGTGGAGGAAAAGAGACAGGTATTAAAAATTTTATTTAGAGAGCAAAATAAATAAATAAATAAACAAACAATACATTTACCTTGTGAAGAAAATGGTAGCTTCAGCATCTGTAGTCTGAGGTTGAAGAGCATCATACACATATTTAAGATCTTGGACTCCAGTCAGCTCAGGTAAACCTGACTGTGTCATCTGTGTTGAACACACAAATACAGAATTGATCAATAAACAAGTAAACTGTAAAGCAACAAAAGTCCTAAATGAAGAAAATTATGCAAACAGCTTCCTGTCATTAGGGTTGTGCAATTAATGTCATGTATCTAATATCCGCAAAAACATTTACACAGAGCCCTTCTTGTTGACACAAGATTCAATGGATGACACACAAATGACTGTTTTGTTTCCAATGTGGTGCTGTATAATACCAGAGACAGCAGGTTGAGGAAGAGATTGGAGTGTTTGCGTATCAAGTTGTAGGCTTGGGAGCAAAGGTCAACGAAAAGCTGGAAGCGGCTAGTGGGTCTCTCGCCTCCATTAATGACATAAGCCATATCAGAGGTTAAGACAAACGGCGCTCGGTCCCTGCAGAGAGAAAAAAAACAAGTAATAAAACCAAACAAAACCACAAACTGGGCAGTCTTACATGGCACAACTCATCATTCACCTTTTAAAACTCCCAATCATTTGTGCGTGACCCAGGAACTTCCCAAAGTCTATGTGGAACATGTGGCCAGTGGAACGCAGCATGATGTTATCGTTGTGACGGTCACAAATGCCTAGGATGTAAGTGGCCACGCAGCATCCTGCGCAGGTGTAGATGAAATTCTCTGAGGCCTGACAAGAGACGGGTTCGATTAGTTTGAAATAAGATCAAAACCCAATGAACCACATGAACTTGGTCTTGACTAAATCTGCTATTTATAATCATCCAGATACCTTCTCATATTCATCCTCAGCAGGGTTATACTTGCGGAGCCACTCGGCAAGAGGTTTGTCCTTAAAGGAGCCCGTCACTCCGTACTCCACCTGAATCTTCCTCAGCGTTTCAGAAGACGGAACCAACTCTACCATGCCTGTGTATCCAAACACAAATGTTATAATAGAAGCAGATGCTACTGTACATTCACAGAGTCACAAAGTCATTTTTAAGATCAAAATTTTACAGCACAAATAAGTCATAATCTAGGTTTTCCACGTCAATTTTCAACATTCTCTCTTATCCGTAGAATTAAATAGGCCATTTTTGTTGTACCTACAATGAATAGGCTATTCATTCACTACTGTTCAAAAGTTTGTGGTCAGGTTTTATTATTATTATTATTTAAATAAAAATAAAAACAAGGATGCATCTTAAGTGACAGTTAAAACATTTATAAGGTTACAAAAGATTTCAAACAAATGCTGCTCCTTTGAACTTATTAAAGAATCCACAAAAAAATATTAAGCAACACAACGGTTTCAACACTGATAATAAGAAATAATAAGAAATGTTTCTTGAGCAACAAATCAGCATATCTGAATGATTTCTGAAGGATCGTGTGACACTTAAGACTGGAGTAATGATGCTGAAAATTCAGCTTTTCTATCACAGGAATAAATTACATTGTAAAATATATTAAAACAGAAAAAAAAACTCTAATTGTAATAATTTTTCACAATATTACTGTTTTACTGTATTTCTAATCAAATAAATGCAGCTTTGGTGAACATAGGAGACCCCTATCAAAAAATGTAAATATCTTACAGACCCCAAACTTTTGAACGGTAATGTAAATCATAAGTCTTTTTTTTTTTAATTACATATTTAACTATTTTATTCTAGTTGGAAAATAGTTAAATAGGTTTTAAATGCAGAGCAAAACATACCTTTATCTTTGCCAGTAGAGATGCATTTAAAGTTGACAATGCGCAGGTCCAGTCCCTCCTGCAGCCAGATCCGATCCATAATCCGAATCATCTGCAGCGCCAACATGTCCTGCCTCAGATCCTCTCCAACCTGAATTACAGTTAAGACAGATAAGCTATTCGGAAATACCTAAAAAAAAAAAAAACAAGAGTATCTAGAACTCTGTGCTTAAACATGTAGGTACAAGATTTTTGTTCTACTACTGATTCGACCACTAGAGGGCATGTTCATGACTGAGATGGGACTTTAAATTTGGTTCTTTGTCTGTGGCACATTTCTAAGTGAAGTCTAGTTTCCATCAATCATACATGTTTATAGTTTGAATTCAATGGAAGATCCTACTATTGCAATTAACATAAAAAGAAACCAACTGCTCACTACTGTCAAACTAAGGTAATGTAAAACAATAACAAACCTCAGCAGGAATACATTCTGTCTATGGAGTCCCCTTCACTATACTGTACACACACCTTAAACATGACGTTAATCTCGTCTCCCAGCGGGTCTGCGTTAACCAGTGCAATCTTCAGAGGTACAGCGTTGGAATTGAAGAAAGAGCAGGCCTAGTTTCAACAAAAGCAGCACCATGTTACAAAAGCAGCCTCAGGGTTTTAGTTAAATCTCTTATTCAACATGGCAACAAAGAGGGTCTTTGAAATGGGGGCAGATCAGACTGGAGGAGAAGAGATGGAGTTAAGTGACACAACTGTGCTGAGTGTGCAAAACTCTACATCTGAAACAGGAAGGAGGGGGGAGTGAGCAAGGATGATAAGGAAGTGAATCACATGTGAACGCTTCCACAGCAAAACGGAACAAAACCTGGCATGCCATGAGAACTGAAGAGATCTGTTCCTTGGCTATGTGGTTTTTGAAGCTTCTATAGAAATGCTGATAAAATGCATTAATCAGATTGAGAATGTAGGTTTGATAGGGTCAATTCTGTTGTCATGAATTTAAGCACTCACCTTGATATTGAGTTCTTTTGTCACCAGACTGGGGCTAATAGGGAGTCGACAGCTGTTCTTCTGGAAGAAAGACTGTACCCTCTCTAGACCCTCCAGCAGCACCATCTACAAAGAACAAACATTCAACTGGATTTGACTGATAAGAACTACAACCACAGTCTCATGACTTCAACCCAAAACTCGTGGTAATACTTTAGTATAGGGACCAATTCTCACGATTAACTAGTTGCTTATTAGCATACCTATTATTAACATATTGGCTGTTTATTAGTACTTATAAAGCACATATTCTGCACGATCATATTCTACATCCCTAATCAATAACCAAAACTTAACTACCTTACCAACTTAATATTAATAAAGCAAATTAGGAGTTTACTGAGGCAAAAGGCAAAGTTAATGGTTTGCTAATAGTGAGAATTAAACCTTAAAATAAAGTATTCGGAAATACCTAAAAAAAAAAAAAAAAAAGAGTATCTAGAACTCTGTGCTTAAACATGTAGGTACAAGATTTTTGTTCTACTACTGATTCGACCACTAGAGGGCATGTTCATGACTGAGATGGGACTTTAAATTTGGTTCTTTGTCTGTGGCACATTTCTAAGTGAAGTCTAGTTTCCATCAATCATACATGTTTATAGTTTGAATTCAATGGAAGATCCTACTATTGCAATTAACATATAAAGAAACCAACTGCTCACTACTGTCCAACTAAGGTAATGTAAAACAATAACAAACCTCAGCAGGAATACATTCTGTCTATGGAGTCCCCGTCACTATACTGTACACACACCTTAAACATGACGTTAATCTCGTCTCCCAGCGGGTCTGCATTAACCAGTGCAATCTTCAGAGGTACAGCGTTGGAATTGAAGAAAGAGCAGGCCTAGTTTCAACAAAAGCAGCACCATGTTACAAAAGCAGCCTCAGGGTTTTAGTTAAATCTCTTATTCAACATGGCAACAAAGAGGGTCTTTGAAATGGGGGCAGATCAGACTGGAGGAGAAGAGATGGAGTTAAGTGACACAACTGTGCTGAGTGTGCAAAACTCTACATCTGAAACAGGAAGGAGGGGGGAGTGAGCAAGGATGATAAGGAAGTGAATCACATGTGAACGCTTCCCAGCCAAACGGAACAAAACCTGGCATGACATGAGAACTGAAGAGCCAAATTGTTCCTTGTCAATGTGGTTTTTGAAGCCTCTATAGAATTGCTGATAAAATGCATTAATCAGATTGAGAATGTAGGTTCTATAGGGTCAATTTTGTTGACTTTAAGCACTCACCTTGACATTGAGTTCTTTTGCCACCAGACTGGGAGTAATAGGGAGTCGACAGCTGTTCTTCTGGAAGAAAGACTGTACCCTCTCTAGACCCTCCAGCAGCACCATCTACAAAGAACAAACATTCAACTGGATTTGACTGATAAGAACTACAACCACAGTCTCATGACTTCAACCCAAAACTCCTGGTAATACTTTAGTATAGGGACCAATTCTCACGATTAACTAGTTGCTTATTAGCATACCTATTATTAACATATTGGCTGTTTATTAGTACTTATAAAGCACATATTCTGCACGATCATATTCTACATCCCTAATCAATAACCAAAACTTAACTACCTTACCAACTATTAATATTAATAAAGCAAATTAGGAGTTTACTGAGGCAAAAGGCAAAGTTAATGGTTTGCTAATAGTGAGAATTAAACCTTAAAATAAAGTGTAACCAAACTCGTAAGCTTCCATAAACCTTTCAATGTTTATTTAAAATCTACAAGTTGGGAAGTTTGAGTTCGAATAGTTTGCAAGAGCGCTAGTATAAACATTTCGATGCTGTAAAAGCAGACTAGTGAGTATCAGTGTTCTTATTGTTAACTAAAACTTTCATTACAAAATTTGGGGCCAGTAAGATTTTGTCAAATAAATTAATAATTTTACTCAGCAAGTATGCATAAAATGATCAAAAGTGACAAAACATTTAAATTCTCAAAAAAAAGAAAAAAAAAAAAAATAATGTTCTTTTTAGCAACATCATATGACCCCTTTTTCCCAGTGTATAACCAAGAAAAAAGCAACAGAAAGCACTGACAAGCTGTTTAAAGAAGAGAAGATACATGCATAAACGTGTGTGTGTGTGTGTGTGTGTGTGTGAGCGCACCCACACCAGCTGAGGGAGATAGTCAGCCAGCTCATCATCACTACTGCTCTCGATCCAGCTCACGGCCACTTTCCTCACCTCTGTGTCAGCGAACCTGAATATAGCACACACAACCAAGCACAACATTAACCACATGCTCAGCTCCCTCTCCATAACAGAACAGTAATAAAGCAAGTCATGAGACTAATAAAGTGGTCAAAAATGATCTAAAGTTTGAAAGCAATACATAAAGAAAAATCATATGACCGAAGTGACACATTAAAAAGGTCATATGGTAAAATGTGAGAAGGAAAGGAGAAAGTGGGCCATAAAACAGAGAGGGAGCGGAACAGATACATACTTTGAATCAAGGAGCTCCAGGGCTGAAACAGGCGACAGAGGGGGCCAGTGGTGCAGAAGTGAGTGGATCTCACCCATACTGCCCCAGTCCCAACTGGGTGCACTGGCCAAGATTTTTGGCAGGCTGTATTGATAGTCCCGACAATAGTACCGCTGGTCCCAGAGCAGTTGCTTGTCTGCTCGTGACAGCCTGGTGGAAAAGATTGCTAGGTAATGTCAAAGTAGACAAAGTATCATATTTTCCTGTACCTAACTATAAGTCTGACTCGGTCAAAATTGCATTGAAGAAAAAACACAGACAAGTCCCATCAGTGTACAAGTCACATTTTACATTCAGAAATAATGTAAAATACAGGTCAATAAAACAAAACGTTTACAAACACTATAATAATGTAAGTTTTACTTCCCTTCATTCCACAAAATGTAACAGTATTCAGAACAGAACAGGAAAAGAGTACAGAAAAATCTAAGTATAAAACAAATTATAGTGCCATGCATTCTGGACATTCATTATAAACGCAAAGCCTAAACTAATTTGTTTAAATGAAAGACAGCATGTGGGAAATGCACTGCACAAATAAACTTGACTCAAGTACCTCTCTCAGTGGGCACGATTCCAAATGTGCCTGCTTTGTGCATGTTTTGCATGCTTGACATACAAGTTGCTTTGGAATAAAAGTTGCAGTATCTTTCAGATGATAAAAAAAAACTCAACTTGCATACTAGAAATTATGGTACTTCCTGTGGGCTTCAAACTAACCCAAGAAGCAGACCCGTTAATCCATGAAACAAAGTAAGATTTAGTTCTGATCCAAAGATAAGAGGCACAGGAAACAAGTCACATCTCTTAAATGTGTCTGCGAATGGGCAGTCAAGCTGGGAGCCCGGCAGCTGTTGGCACTTGGTGGGCATTCAGAAACATGCTCACAAACTGAGCATGGAAAGTTGCCCACCATCTGAGGCTGAGTGTTGTGTGGCTGTTTTAAAGCTGACTAAGCTTTCTGTTTCACATCTGAGAGATGCATTTTCAGCAGAGCATACTAAACAAGGCCTGACAACTGTCTGCTTTTCAGCTGCAATGTCTCCTTATCAATAGAGATTTATTCTGTTTTTATTGCAGTGAATCGCTTTTGCTATCTTTACAAGAAAACCTCTAAAAAGTAATTCATATAAAAAAACTAAATGGTTCTCTTAAACAGCGCGACTCACAAACTGTCCTGTGCATACAGAAGACGACAGAAGTGAATCAAATAAAGTCTGTTTGGAGAAATAGAAGTTAATCCCCTTCTCTAGGCTCAGACTTAAACACATTGTTAAAGAACTTTTTATTTTAAATGAATTATGCTCTTTTGAACTTGCATTGACATTGCATCATCTGTGTTTTCTATTTGAGCACCAGACTGGCATATCAGAATGATTCCTGAAAGACCATGTGACACTAAAGACTGGTTTTACTGTATCAAATAAACCCAGACTTGGTGAGCATAAGAGACTTATATAAAAATTTTTTTTTTAAATTAAACGTAAAAACCGACTGCAAACGTTTGAATAGTACTGTATTTAACTGACTACTGTATTGTCCTGCTGTGTGAACATAATCTTAGCATTCAGAGTGTTGTGAACTGGCTTAATGTTGTCCATGACTTTTTAATAGAGGTTTTTATGCTCTTAGAAGCTCAAAATAACTTCATTCTCAATTCAATTAAAACCCTTAAATAAAATAAGCAAGCTGAAGGGGATCCATATAATTGGAGTAACTAGGCAGAACTGATTCAATTACACAATGCTCTCAAAGGCTGTTTATCCTTTTCATATGCTACTCAGGCTTATTATGAAGCGTCTGATGCTCAAACAAGACAGGAAGCACGTGGCACTGTAACTGTATCAAACATTCTGATTAGAGATTTAACAAAAGCCTACAAACTAATCCTACCTAAAACCTTACCACTACTCTTTAGCAAGCACTGGTGTTTCCTTCATGAAATGCAAATCTACATTATGCCATGAGGTCTTGTGATGCAAACTTACCCAAAAGCAGATGCTTGTGCACATAGCTTTTCAATCTCACTTCGATCTCCTGGATCAAGTGGATCTAGAGATTGAGGGTCTGGGCAGCCGTTCTCCTGAGGACCAACATAGAGCACGTCCACTGCTGGACTGGGAAAGTCAACCTGTTCATGGTCAGACAATGATATTTAAAGTGATCATGAATTGAGAAATCAAAATTCCCTTGATCTTTTGACATATAAGAGGTCATTTTGCTATAAAAACATCCTGTAAGTTTCAGAACTCAAATCTTTCTTGTTAGTCTAAAAACAGCTTATATTGAAACCAATCTGCCAATTATGATGTAATAGTGTGGATAAACTCTGCCTCTACAGAAGATGATCAACGGATGCTACTACATCATTGCCTGTTTAGCCCCTTCCACCGATTCGTGCACATAGTAGGTAAATGACAATATCGGCAAATGCAGGTCTATGAAGAAACCAAATGATAAACTTTATTTGATGAACTTTATTTTTAATGAAATACCAGACTGCGTCAGTAAGAACTTGATCCTTTGTTCACTTAATTTTACCTTGGATTCCGTGGCACAATTCGAAATTTTCAGAAAGATTGAAACTGAAAGATGATGCTGTGCCAACTATATTGGATCCAAAAGTAATGTCACACCACACAAGTGTAAGTGACTGTTTTTATTACGCGATCACTATTGCTTTTGTTTGATATATACTGAGTATTTATGCATTTTAACCTAAAACACAGCAGCGTCCATCTGTGAAGGATGTAGGCTGTCAAACATACAAAACGGGTAGTCAATCATAGCAGTGGGCGTTTACTTCCGAGTCTACAATCCACCACGCCTATTCAAACAGAACGTTCCGATGAGGAGGGTCAAAACTGGACAAAAAAATAGCCTAATAATTACAGTGTTTCTACAGATATGAACAAGTGAAATGTAAGACTTTTTAAGACCACCTTACATGAAATTTAAGACCTAAACCTGTAATGGAAATACACATTATTTTACATACATATATGTGATATTTAATGTTTTAATGTAAAAAGAAAAAAAATTTAATCGCTGTCATAAATTATATTTATTTCCACGATATACAGTGAACGTTTCATATCAGCAGACAATATTCCACACAAAATATCCCCACAAAACTATCACATCACCAAGATTTTTGGTGGTATACACAATTATTCTGAACCAATATTTTCATCAGTGTTCTATCAGCTTTTGCAAATTTTTATTTACCTTCACAAAGGCCTATTTTTAAAAATGTTTAAATGTATGCATCACCTTTCATGTCAAATTATTACAATTCATCAATAAATTGTAATAATGTTACCAGCCAGATTAAATAATTTACACTGCAAAATTACAACTGTAATAAATAATGTAATGAGATTAATGTTTTAAATACATTTATGAATATACAAATAAGAAATGTTGGGGGGAAAATGCATACTTTTCAACATATTAAGCTACCAGTAGGTGGCGGTAAGTCACTTAATGGGTGAGTCATTGAGTCATTCATTCAACTGATTCGTTCAAAACGCTGAATCATTCAGTAACAAAACACAGCCGAGTGTTGCTTGGAGAATGTGCTATACTTCTGCTGTGATCCTTGTTTGGAACTATTTTCATTGGTGAAACAGAACAAAACGGTAAATATTGTGTCTAAAAATGTAAATAACTTAATAACTACTAGACTAACGTTACTTGTTCATTGAACTAAAATGTAATGTAACATTTGCAGTCGTGAGAATATTCAGCAAAATAGCTCTCTTGGTATGTTACTGAACTATATCATGTTATAAATAAACTACATATTTAGAATTTTTACCTCAGTGTGTTTCTTCAGTTTCTTTATGTGTGCTGTTACACTCATTTGTTTTGAAGTCTCTCACAAAGAGACAGGCAGCGTGACCTTGATACCAGAAATACACTATCCATTATCAATCGCCGTTTAAGTTGAATGTATTCAAATCAGAAGAATTATTCTTTTGTTTCGATGCTTCGCTGGTTATTTTTTTGTCACTTAAGTGAATCTTTGGTCTGTCCAATGATTGTAAGCAGTCATTAGGTGTGTCAGACTGAAGATATTTTAGCGGTAATGTGACCAAAAATATTTAAGACCCATCAAATCTGAATTTAAGACATTTTAAGACTTTTTAAGGCCTTTTATTAAGAAAACGTTATTTAAGACATTGTAAGGACCCGCGGACACCCTGTAATTACTACATTGTGATGTTTTTTGATGTAAAAATCTTGATAAGATTACAACTCTAGATGAAAAAAAAAAAAGCACAAATAAAAGAACCTGCAGTATGATCCGTTCTGAAGGATTCTTCCCCTTGCCTGCAGCTCCAGGCTGAAGGACTTGAGATGTCCACAAACTTAGCAGCTGGCTACCTCTTGAGAGCACCCTGAAACACAAAATGCAAGAAGTAATATATATTATGTATAATGCATATTACTTATTAACTGCCGTCTCAAATTGATTAATTTAGCACAGGCATCCCAATATACAGTGGTCATGTTGTGCTGCCATATAGAAATTGCCATAATTGTTAAAATTCTTGTCAAACTAGGTTCACTCACTTTGAGAGTGAAACAATCAAAACAGCAGTAAATCTGTAATTTTATCAAAACCAGTGTTACCTAATGTATTTTCTTTGTTCTTCAAGATTTTACATAAAGACATAATGAAGTGATTACATACTTTTCAGGCATCAACAATTAAGCTGTTTATGGATCTATTTTGGCATTATGAGCACTGAATAACTGATTTATTACCTAATTATTACTGTTTGGAAAAAAATACAAAGAAAAATTGTATATGCACCTAAACAAATATGAAGCAGTCCTGAAAATTCTACAACTTACAATATACTCTCCAAGGTTAATCTATTTTATTTGAGGTATTATTTTATGACTTGCCTCCTGAAATCAAGCAGAGGCATGGACACTTTTCCCAAAAGCTCTGGACCCTTCCGTTGCTTGTTGGAATCTGGCGAGTTGTTCGCATTCTGGTTAAGAACCCCGTAGAGAGAAAGACTCAGCATGGCCTCTAGTGGTAAAAGTGCCACTGAAATAGGGAAATTTATCCTAAAGAAACAGAGGTAGTCGTCACCAACAGCAGAAACGGGCAGCAATCCCGCTGATTTCCCTCTAATTCTAGAAATTGCAGGAAGTAGCATGTCAGTGTGTTTAAGGGGCATTAACACTTACGATTCGTCCCATTTGATGTGGTAGAAAAAACTCTTGTATGCTCCCACTTTTTTGGACTGGACAGGCTTGAAGAGATTCCTGTTGTTGTGGGTCAGGGCACACATCAGGTAGTATTTTTCAAAACTGAAAAACAGGAAGGACAACTTACTCTATGGCACGGAAAGGGAAGAAAACACTGGCCTGTACTTATCTATTGCCAAAAGCATAATTTGACTGAATATGATAGAAGTTAATCGAGTCTACCACACTGTTTGAAAACTAATGCAAAACATTTTTTCCATTTAGTTTTATGCACAATTTACACAAAAATTGTTTGTATATTCATTCAAGTATTCTTTTGAGAGGTTTCAAATAATGGCAAACTATGCGCTTTCTTTTTTCGCATACACTGCTATTCAAAAGTGTGGGGTTGGTAAAATTTCTCAAGTTTTTGAAATAAATCTTTTATGCCTAGGACTGCATTTATTTGATAAAAAATGCAGTAAGAAGCAGTAATATTTTGCAATATTATAACAATTTAAAAAGAAAAATATATTTTAATATACTTTCAGTTGTAATTTATTCCTGTGGTGGCAAAAGCTGAATTTTCAGCAGTCTTCAGTCTCACAAGATCCTTCAGAAATCATTCTAAAAGGCTGATTTTGTGCTCTAGAAACATTTCTTATTATTATCAATATTGAAAACAGATATGCTGCTTAATATTTTTTGTGGAAACTGTGATACATGATACATTTCAGGATGATTTGATGAATAGGAAGTTCAAAAGAGAAGCATTTATTTGAAATCGAAATGTTCTGTAACATTATAAATGTCCTTACCATCACTTTGTATGCATCCTTGCTAATAAAAATTCTTTACAAGTACTTCTAACTTCTGAAGAAAAAAAAAAAAAAACTGGCCCCAAACTTCTGAACAGAATATACACATTCTATATTAAGTTTCATAAATACTGTCAATTGACTTGAATCCTTGTCTAATGACAAAAGTTGGGCATTTTGATTCATTTTTGTGAAATAAATAAATAAAAATCACAATTTTAGGCAATTTAAGAACAAATATACAGGTGCATCTGAAATTAGAATGTCATGGTTAAAGTTAATTTATTTCAGTAATTCAACTCAAATTGTGAAACCCGTATATTAAATAAATTCAATGCACACAGACTGAAGTAGTTTAAGTCTTTGTTCAAAATATACACTGAATGTCAAAAGGATTAAACATTTAGCTGTAATGCACAGCCGTTGTAATAAGAGATCATCAGCAACATCCTGACCCCCCAAATATTCATTATCAGAGGACACAGCCCTTATTTCTTGCAACATTTTTCATAGGTGGCCTTAAAAGTTTCAAAAGCATGTTGAATACAGTTATTTTTGTGTGTAGTGAATGGAAATAATGTGATTCTAAGCTCTCCAAGTTGGGTTAAATGTTAAATGGTCCAGATATAATTTATTGAGGCTGATTGCTCCAAGAGAACGCAGACTCTAAATTACACAAATTATCGAGGATGAAATAACAGTGTAATGAAAATGGACTAAGGCAGTGCTTTGAAAGTAGTAGAGAAGTTTACCTTGGCTGTGAGTTTGTTAACTCACACAGTCATTATCAGTCTGAACTGAATTAAACAGTTTAATTTAGACTGCGGGGCATGATAGGCCAAAACAGGAAGGGTAAATGGATTTCTTTTAAAATCCATTTCTTTATTATGAAAGTATTAAGTTAAAGCTTAGACCAGCTTCAGAAACACTCATGTCACAAGCACTAAAAGGGACACAGTGCTCACCTGCTGACCCAGGTAGCAGGAATGCCATGAACGGCAAACAGCGTGAACTGCAGGTGCTCAGTGGTGCCCGAAGCTTCTTTGCTGTCCCTCCTGTCCTCCAAGTGCTCTTCCATCGTGTAGCCAGGAGTAGTTGGACAGAAAGACCTCAGGTAGAGCTTGGCGAGCTCATACACAGCATCTGTGAGTCCGGCTAAACTCTCCTCAATGGGGCTAGCATAACCTGGGGATCACAAGCAGCAGAGTACAGCATAGGTGAACAAGAAACAGCCATTGAGATGATTTTAGGAGCTGAGCTTACCATTAGCTGAACCTGTAGAAGCTGAACTCATGGCACCAGCCTGCAAAACAAAACAGTGCTATTTGTATGTACATTGAAAAAAATGATTAATTGAATTTACTATTTTTTTTAAGGTAAGTGGTTGCAATCAAGTTAATTTAGCTACATTTAAATAAATTTAGTTGACTAACTGTCAACAAAATTGGTTTATTTAAATGTAGCTAAAATAAATTGATTGCAACCACTTACCTTAATTTTTTTGTAAATTCAATTAATCAACTTTTTCAGTGTATATGCAAACAGAAAAAAATAAATAACGACTACAGATTGCTGTGGTTTTGACTAGGGATGCACAATATCAGTAGTGTGTCTGCTATTTTTTTATTGTGTTTTTTATTTTATAAACAGTACTGGACAAATACAAAAACATCTAATAATTGAATTAAACAAGTTTAGATGTAATATTTAGTGGATCTCAAAATGAACATCCATTTTTATACCATATATTATAACATTGTGCTACCTAAACGCACTTTTACCATTTCAAGTATCTGATTTTAGTTTAGTTCAGATCAGAACTGTAATATCAGACATTTATAAACAATCTGTTATTTGTCATAACATTAAAATTCTTACTGGCTTATAATTTTATTACAGTGCATAAATACTTCACACTGAATGTTCTCTGACCTCTGGAGAACGTGTTCTAGGAAGGTTGACAGAGCGTTTGAGCTTCTTGATGGCATCACTTATGGCTGGTGTCTCAACTTCATCCAGAGCACAGCACAGATTTTTAACAGACTGAACCACATTGTCCACTGTTTTATACTGGGTGCTCTAGTGAGAGAGAGATTGAAAGTGAGAAACACTGAAATCATTTCAAACACTTTATTTATTTTCATATAGTATAGTACAGCTTGTGGTGTTTGTTAAATAACAAGTAACCTCATTCTGAAGGCAGAGATTGACCTGCTTATAATATCCTTCAAGTTGTTCAGCAAGAACCTCTCTAGAGAAGAAAAAACATGCAAAGTAATGAGAGAAATCAACAAGCACAATCAGGGACTTCAAAGGCCACCCATGGCTTTCGTAGCCTTTAGTAGGGGCGGGAGATAAGATGGAGCACATTCCTACCTTGTGACTGACTCTTTAAACGGTCTCTCTACTAGGCCGAGGTATTTCTCCAAGACAATAGGGGAAATGTCATCTTCTGCCTGATAGAATACAAAACATATACATGTATATATCCATTAAATATATCCATTAATATCCTCTGAAGATAGTAATGCAGTGAACAACTAGTTTCAAGTTGTTTATTCCAGCCTTTGTAAGAGTCTTACCGTTCGGGCCAGATCTCTTCTCATTGTGCTAAGAAAAAGGAGCTGCAGTTTGATCTCCGTTTCCCACTTCCTGCAGTTCTGCACGTACTCATGACTGCCCAGACTATGTTTACTGGAAGATAATGTTAAAGATGCTTCAGACATGGGCCAGAGCCAAAATCAACAATGAATGAATGAATCAATGAATAACTAAATAATGCTTAAATATAACTTTATATAATTATAATAATAACTAACATTTTAAAGTCTGAGTTAATTAAGATTTTTTTTTATACATATAAATTGTTACTTTTATTTAGCAAGGATGCATTAAATTAATCAAAAGTGTCAGTAAACATTTATAGACATTTATAACGCTACAAAAAATTATATTTCATATAAATATTGTCCTTTTCAACTTTCTATTAATCAAATAATTAAATATATATATATATATATCACAGTTTTTACAAAAATATTAAGCAGTATAACTCATTTCGACAATAAGAATAAGAAATGATACACAAGTACTAGAATGAATTCTGAATAATAACATGACTCTAAATATAGGAGTAATAGCTGCTGAAAATTCAGCTTTACCAATACCAAAAAAAATAACAAAAATGTGTCCTTTTTTTGAGAATGCACTCGAAGAACATTCCAGGGCAAGAGATGTGTCCTGGATGACTGTGCTTTGGAAGGCCAGAGCAGGAACATTTTTAATAATTACTCGTATCAACTTGCCAAGGTCAACTGAAGAACAGACAGTCAGCACTGAAGCAGACAGTGAGTAACTATACCTTAACATAAGGGGAAACTAACGGCTTTCAAAACTCTGCATTGAACACACGAATAACATGGTAACTAAGGCTGCCTTGCATTACAGAGCTTGAAATGTTTTTGCCCCCCTGTTCCTTATTAGGGCAGGCAAACCCTCCCCTAGAACTGTTGGTTCTGCTCTTCCAATGGTGTGGGTAAAAAAGAAACATTTCCCTAGCACAATTAAAGCAAAATAACCCCATTTTCAAGGAATGTTGGCAGGGGACTTGTTTATGCAATACGACAGAATGCCTGCAAAAGGGAAAGGGAGATGGTAAACGAAGGACTCACTTCTGTAGAACCTCCTCTTGTCCACAGACCTTGAGAACGTAGCTGCTGATGTCCACCTGGTTCAGGTCATCATGGACCCAACACAAAGCCTGCATTATGAGAAGGTCCACTGGAGAACTCACTGGGCAAAGAAACACAGAAAACATGAAAGAAAAAGGCATCCATGGACTGAGAAAAGAATGAAGCTAATGAAAAAGTAAACAAGATTATAAAATAAATGCATTTTTGTCCAGACAATACAAGACAGTGGTGTACAATATTGCTTTGGATTCCAATGACTCTTATTGTATGGACAAAAAAAACCATTCTTCAGAAACGACACGAGGGTAAGTAAATGCTGAAAGAATTTTCATTTTTGGGTAAATTGTCCATTTAAATGAATTGAAGACCATCCTGAAGGTCTTGTCTGCTTGATGTTGCACAAAAATATAAAATGATGCAGCCAGTATGACACACCATTTTGCCAAGCTTGGACTGATGCTGGCTTTAAAACGGACTATTACCAAACAGTTCATGCGGTACAGGGTTGACTTTGAGGAAAGCAAGGGATGAGAGTGCCATTTGGAAGAGGACCTATGAACCTCTATGAACCTCTTTTGGTTCATTGCGATGGAAAACTGCAATAAGAAATGGATTTGGCATGAGAAGTTTAACTAGATCCGAGGAAAAATATGACACCCAACATGTTGTTCATGGTCACCCCAGGCTGCAGCAATAACAGGCCCCTTGGAATTATCCTCTCTATAAGATCCAAGCCTTGGGCTGGATTACAGTTAGTCAGCTGTGCCTGGCCTGGACTCTTCATGTCTGCCGTGTTTTTCAAGCCCAAAGGTCTGATGGTCATGCCTAATTTGTGGTGACTTTGGGGTTGCTTTGAAGGGTTGTGGGATGCCAGTAAAATTCCTCTTCTGCCATCCTCTATTCATGGCACTACAGCAACACACATGGTGCTGGAAAGTCAGGAGATTGTGGTTGGTCTAAAATGGCAGGAACTCTAGAGCCTTGGAAAAAAGCTAAGAGGCAGAAAGGCTAGAGTAGAACATCAGACCATATACAGGTGCATCTCAAATTAGAATGTCGTGGAAAAGTTTATTTCAGTAATTCAACTCAAATTGTGAAACTCGTGTATTAAATAAATTCATTGCACACAGACTGAAGTAGTTTAAGTCTTTGGTTCTTTTAATTGTGATGATTTTGGCTCACATTTAACAAAAACCCACCAATTCACTATCTCAACAAATTAGAATATGGTGACATGCCAATCAGCTAATCAACTCAAAACACCTGCAAAGTGTTTCCTGAGCCTTCAAAATGGTCTCTCAGTTTGGTTCACTGGGCTACACAATCATGGGGAAGACTGCTGATCTGACAGTTGTCCAGAAGACAATCATTGACACCCTTCACAAGGAGGGTAAGCCACAAACATTCATTGCCAAAGAAGCTGGCTGTTCACAGAGTGCTGTATCCAAGCATGTTAACAGAAAGTTGAGTGGAAGGAAAAAGTGTGGAAGAAAAAGATGCACAACCAACCGAGAGAACTGCAGTCTTATGAGGATTGTCAAGCAAAATCGATTCAAGAATTTGAGTGAACTTCACAAGGAATGGACTGAGGCTGGGGTAAAAGCATCAAGAGCCACCACACACAGACATGTCAAGGAATTTGGCTACAGTTGTTGTATTCCTCTTGTTAAGCCACTCCTGAACCACAGACAACGTCAGAGGCGTCTTACCTGGGCTAAGGAGAAGAAGAACTGGACTGTTGCCCAGTGGTCCAAAGTCCTCTTTTCAGATGAGAGCAAGTTTTGTATTTCATTTGGAAACCAAGGTCCTAGAGTCTGGAGGAAGGGTGGAGAAGCTCATAGCCCAAGTTGCTTGAAGTCCAGTGTTAAGTTTCCATAGTCTGTGATGATTTGGGGTGCAATGTCATCTGCTGGTGTTGGTCCATTGTGTTTTTTGAAAACCAAAGTCACTGCACCCGTTTACCAAGAAATTTGGGAGCACTTCATGCTTCCTTCTGCTGACCAGCTTTTTGAAGATGTTGATTTCATTTTCCAGCGGGATTTGGCACCTGCCCACACTGCCAAAAGCACCAAAAGTTGGTTAAATGACCATGGTGTTGGTGTGCTTGGCTGGCCAGCAAACTCACCAGACCTGAACCCCATAGAGAATCCTCCATGCCACGCCGAATTGAGGCAGTAATTAAAGCAAAAGGAGCCCCTACCAAGTATTGAGTACATGTACAGTAAATGAACATACTTTCCAGAAGGTCAACAATTCACTAAAAATGTTTTTTTATTGGTCTTATGAAGTATTCTAATTTGTTGAGATAGTTAATTGGTGGGTTTTTGTTAAATGTGAGCCAAAATCATCACAATTAAAAGAACCAAAGACTTAAACTACTTCAGTCTGTGTGCATTGAATTTATTTAATACACAAGTTTCACAATTTGAGTTGAATTACTGAAATAAATTAACTTTTTTTTTTATTGAGATGCACCTGTATGCACAATCCTGAAGCTACTGATGAATTTGTAAATAAAACTTGTCAAATGGATGTACCTTAATCTGAGACACTTAATCTGAGTCTATCCTGGAAAAACCTTCATATTCCACACATTCTCACCCTAGTCACCTCCACAGCTTCATTTGCCTTGTCTTTCATGCCAAGTATGTCTGGAATTGCGAACTTTACTAACCTTACACACAGCTAAGCATTTTCCTCCACTTAAACAAACTAAGAAAAACCTCAAAAACCTCTTTTTCCTCTTTGAAGATTCAGACAGTCAGCACTGACATGCAAAGAGATGGTATGTCCATTTAGCTGTATGGTGATTGTCTGCATGGATTAGCAAAGTTAAGTAACAGTAAAGCATTACTTTGTTGACCACGGTTCATGGAATGTAGGAATGTTGTAACAAACCTGACTTTTAGTAGGATCTAAAATCTCTTGATCTAAACAAAACAAACAGGGTTAGTTTAAGAGGAAAAACACGCAAGAACTTGTGTGAACGTGAGAAAAAGATAGCTAGAACATTACAACCATCCAGCCAATTATAGCCGAGCCACTCCGGAAATATATTAGCTGTCTGTGAAGCAACTTCGGGGCCCGATAGACACTGTGCCCCCTTTTTCCTTCCTAAGACCACAGTCTATGCTGGATTTATACAGGACAAAAAGAGCTATGAGGCTCAGGCAGTAACAACACAGAAAAATTCTTCAACACAAAAGGCCAGTCTTGATTTCCTGCCAGGAGTGAGGTGGCTAGAGACTCGGCACAAAAAACGAGGCCCAGCAGTCTTCAGAACACAGCCGCTTCACAGGGAACTGAGCCAAGGCCATTACAGCTCAATGAAAAGGACTTTCCGTGCTGGACCACAGACAGGTTACCCAGTAAAAAAACCTTGACAAGTGACATGCAAGCTGAAAAATGAAAAACACAGGAACCCTGGTCGAAGAATCTGTTGACCAGACACACCATAACAGTTATGTAAAAAGAGAATGTGTCGCAGTGGCCAAGAAATGCTCTCTGGCGTTGTGTCATGACTTCTTCATTTGTCAGCTTCGTTTATAGCAGACACTCGGAGAAGCTCACTATTGACAAATAGTGAGTACATGATTTATCAGATGTGACATTATTAGATACTTATAAGGGATAGTTCACCCAAAAATTTAAATTGTCATAATGATCTCACCCTTATGACGTTTTTGGGTGAACTGTTCCTGTAACTGCCTTAACTGTTAGCATAACAATTTTCATATAAAACATGTTCACTGTCAAAAGCTTTTTATAATGACTAAATTCAGTGTGACAAAGAACTGCTTACCATCACAAGTGAAAGTTACAGGCTGTTGAGAAACAGAAATCTCAATGGATACTTTCACACTGCCCCCATTGTCCCCTCCTGCATCCCTCTGGTTGATCACAGGGCTGAGAACATAGCCAGGATTGGTAGCCAGGTCATCATGTGTGAACTTTGACCTCAGTCTGCAAAAATAAAAGGACAACACTTTGTTTAAAATGAAGACCTAACGAAGGTAACTGTGGTGTACCGCAAGGTTCAGTCTTAAGTACTTTGTTAATATACATATACATGCTCTCTCTGTGTGTGATATTAGTAGGAAACAAGGTATTAGCTCCCATTGTTACATGGGCTACACACAGCTGTAGACATCCTGCATTTCACTTGTCAGCAGTCCTTGTCAAAGGTACACATATGAGGTTTTAAGGCAATTCCCAAATTAGTACTTAAGGTCCAAATTAGCTTTGCTTTCCCTATAGAATCCAACATTACAGTGCTGATTCAGGTCTCCTGGGACCTTCTGATATCAGATTAACAACACAGCTGTAGTAGTGGGACCTGCTTTTTCTGAGGTATCCCTTTCAACGGTCAATAAATATATATATTTTTTTAAAAACAACAACTCGTAACTCACTTTGAAATGTCTTCACAGAATGCTACGACTTCTAGATTTTGGCCTTCCTTTTTCTCTAAGATGGAGTACTTTGAGAGTACATTGGTACTTCCTTTATTGATCTGTAAAAAGACAGACACGAAGCCATGGTTATACTGATGATCAGACATTTGGCCTATTATCCTATACATTCACTTTCACTAATGGTGTCCTACACATAGGAAATCACATGTTAAATATATGTTGTAAACAATATATTATGTACAGTCTGTATTATACACAGGGGTACCAAATAGACATGATTGATGACATTAACATCCCAGTTCAAATGTGGAATGAGACAGTCTCTCTATTTGTTGAGAGGATACGGAGAATATGAAGAATGCCTGGAATGCCAAAAAAGAGAGACTTCCTTCAGGAAGGAAACTGGTCAAAAAAAGAACATAAACATGGAATTACAACTAGGAATTAAAGGTACTTTCAGTTCAATGATGGCTTACATGCTAAGAAATTAAAAAAAAAATAATAATTTCTGTATTAATTACATTTGCCATGCAGACTATATGCATGCAATCTCATTGGCACATTCTTGTGAAATTTTCTCTTAACATGGTCTCTGATGAGAAAATCTGCCTCCGACACATTTGCCATAAATGAAATCAAAGCAAAAACAATCAAGAGAATCAATTCAGACAAAAAGAGCAGGTCACATGGTTTATTGCGGGTAATACATATACAGTATGCATCGGATATGATGATGGTTTATTTAGCTGTTCACTAGGCCAAAGCTCTAGGCCTAACCTTAAGAGAAAAATGAGACGCCATGTGACACACATTCACAAATTATTCATCCGCTTTTGCTTAGAGCTACGGTTTTACAGTTCTGGCTGCCCTACATGCAATCTCTCCCAGTCCAAACAGACCTTTTCCTCAGGTTCAAAGTTTATAAGGGATCTGCCAAGAAACAATTCAACACAACACTCAGGAATGAGAGGATGAAGGAAGCGGTCTTACATGAGCTTAGTATTCGATTTAATACAAGTAAAATTCCACCATCATCTACGTTTGTGTGTAATAGAATTCATAGCAAATGCAACTTCCTCTCTACTATTGTTGCCAAGAATACTGACATGCATTAACTGGAACTCTGTTCCCTACTGACCTGATAATACTTCCACTAAATAAATATGACTGAACTTCCGTCGGATGATTTAACATTCCACTGACTACAGAGTGCTTGATGGTAAACTGTGATCAAGAGCTCGGTTTATGAATCTAATTACTCACATTGACATTAAACAAACTTCATTTATGCATGTTGGATAAGCTGACAGTCAGACGGTCAGTTAATAGTTCACATGGAGGGGATGTTGTTCACAGCACATTTATAAACACACACGCACAACAGAAACCACATGGTCGATGTATCAACCAGAAACACCTTGTTGTCTGCATACGAGAGCTACTGTGTGGGCTCTCGTATGTAGTGACTGTTGTGACTGTTGTGATACACTATGACAAATTATACCAGTCTTTTTACAACATCGGCAGTAACATAACTCAATTCAGTGTCTAATTGATGTGTGACCAATATGTGGCTGCTTCTGAACGCTCCCAGGCATATTTGGCACACATTATGTGTATCAGACATGTCAAAAATACTGGATCTGTGCATTAGGCCTTACAATGCACTCTAACAGACCAGTATTATTAATTACACAACTGTTCAAAAGACTAGGGCGAGTAAGATTTTTCTTTTTGAAAGAATTTAAGCATCACAGCCATTTTTTAACATTGATAATAAGAAATGTTTCTTGAAGACAAAATCAGCATTTGAGAATTATTTCTAAACGCTTAAGACTGGAGTAATGGCTGCTGAAAATTCAGCTTCGCCATCACAGGAATAAATTACATTTTTAAATATATTCAAATAGATTATTTTAAGTTCTTAAAATATTTAGTTTTTATTGTACTTTTATCAAATAAATGCAGCCCTACAAAGCATAAGAGACTATTTTAAAAACATTTTACAAAATGTACTGACCCCAACCTATTAAACTGTAGTTTATATACTATACTTGCATTTTACATATATTAATAATCTACATATTTTATTTTATTGTTTTTAAAGTTTTTATTTAATTGTGTAAATATTAACATAAAATTCCACCTTTGACACCAATACTTTATATGTTTTTTTAATCAGGAGATAATGCATAATCTGGGCTTGCTTTATGAACGCTGTGTAATAAAAATATGCTATATAAAAAAGCATTCCCTCTACTAATCCTAAATACATTCAACCATACTCAAAAAAGAAACCACTTTTGATAATGTGTTGTAACCCAAACCACAAGCATGAAGTAACGGCATTAAGAACACTCACACCAAGACCGACAACAAACAGGTCTTTTGGGATGTGTGTGCTGATAAGGGCTGAAATATCCAGGACTTGTGATAAGAGTATCTGGTGTGGTGTGTGGTGAAGCAGAGTAACTGTACACCAAAACCAAAGCTCAGATTAGTTTCGCTGCTCTTTCACACTCCGAAAGAGAGCTGCCATGGCAACAGAGAGCTGCACGGCCCCGCTGCAGGCATGTTAGGGAAGAACCCATGGGGCAAAAACAGCTAGCTGGGGCTTGTCTGTGCTAATGAGACCAGCAGCAGTCCTCGCTATAGACACACACACAAAAAGACAGTATACTAGCTAGGACAGTGTTACCTTGAGCATGAACTAGACCTGATGTGTGACTCAGAAATATAAAGATAGTCCTAAAACTTGAAATGAGGAAGTGCAAAGACTGAACCCTCTGAACCCTCTATTTTATCCTTAGATGAAAGCTGTCCCTGTTGTAGAAGTTATGGTCACAAATTCTTCAAGTACTGTGGGAAATGTGCGACAACAGCCAATTGTCCTAGTCAGAAACAAACAATGAAATGGGAAGTGGGATTTCTGGGGGAAAACACACACATTTACACACCCTCCTCATAAGGAATCAAAGTTTCACATTCCTCTCAGGAAGTCGTTCTTTAATTTGGCAATCAGTTACAACGTTTCTAAGGAAAGACCAACGATAAAGCAAGAGGTTTAGATAAAACGGTGGTAAAATGAAAGCAACTAAGCACCAGCAGAACTTGGCTAGAATATGATAAGAAACCAACCAAGAGGAACAAAACCAAAAATGAAAGATGCAAATCGCCCCTAGCAGAAAATTTTGCAAAGACATTTACCACATTGGTATGGTATAATAATTAGAAAACCATATGCACACATTTTTAACTTGTACTTCCTGTCATATCACAGAGCACTGCTACTTTCTTGTTAAAGTGCTAGAATGTATGCAAGCATGAGAGACACTTATAAAATACTATGTTGTCGATTAGGGGCGTCAATTAGTGGGTTTAGTTTTTTTAAGTTTTGATATTTTTTGCATTTTTATTAAAGGGGTCATCGGATGCCCATTTTCCACAAGTTTATATGATTCTTTAGGGTCTTAATGAAAGGTCTATAACATACTTCGGTTCAAATTTCTCAATTGTAGTGTAAAAAACACCCTTTTTACCCTGTCAAAATCAGCTCTGTTTTCAGCAAGCTGTTTTAGTCCATGTTGCTTTAAATGCAAATGAGCTCTGCTGATCCCGCCCCTCTCTTCTGTGGGGTGATGAGCAGACTGTAAACTTCAGCCACGAAATTTGCTAACTAGCACATATTAGGAAAGGCGATTTGCAAAGATTCATAAAAAAAAAACCTTAATTTGCTTCTTCTGTCACTGAAGCTGGATCACGAATGATTCACGCGAACATAAACGCATTTAGGCAGATCGGGGGTGCATTCCCTTCAAAAACGAAAGTAACATTAATCCTCTGTGTCTTCAGCAGCTCAGATGTCTGGAGTAAATGACGACTGCTATGTTCATTATTACATCCAACAACAAAACACCTCAATCTCTTAATCGGAGATATTCTTGTCTTCCCCAACACCGGAGTCGACACAATGGTGGACAGCTTACAGCTCACTCAGGGCGAGTCTAAGGTAAGACGGCCTTTGTAATCAACTATCGTGGGAGGGACCTGGGTCTGTGTGACATCACAAAGACAGGCATCTGAGATTGGCTCGATCTGAGAAAGGGGAAATTATTTAATGAGATAAAAAAAAAACACTGGGTGGATCTTTATCATTATAGGGTGGTTGTGTACACACACTGCCAACACACATTTCAGTTCAAACAACTTGTAAAAGTGCATGTCGCATCCGATGACCCCTTTAAAGGGGTCATATGATGTGATTTAAATTTTTCATTTCTCTTTGGAATGTTACAAGCTCTTGGTGCATAAAGAAGAGCTGTAAAGTTGCAAAGACTAAAGTCTCAAATCCAAAGAGATATTCTTTATAAAAGTTAAGTCAACCACACCTACCTAAAACGGCTCGTACTAACACACCCCCACATGTCTACGTCACTATGTGGGAAGATTTGCATAACGCCGCCCAAATGTTCACGCAAAGAAAGAAGGTGTAACTTTTATTCTCGCTGTAGTATTGTTGTTGCCACCGCCATGTCGTGAAGACACTGTGTGTTTCATTGTGAAAGCGAAACTACTTTGTTTGGCCTTCCAAAAGAGGACGATATCCGCTTCGTCATGCCTAGAGCTGATCCATGCAGGTCGCTGAGGAAATACATCAACTTCGAGCTGTGGATCGCCAGATCGGCTTTCACCGTGGACGAAATAATAATTAGAAAACCATATGCACACATTTTTAACTTGTACTTCCTGTCATATCACAGAGCACTGCTACTTTCTTGTTAAAGTGCTAGAATGTATGCAAGCATGAGAGACACTTATAAAATACTATGTTGTCGATTAGGGGCGTCAATTAGTGGGTTTAGTTTTTTTAAGTTTTGATATTTTTTGCATTTTTATTAAAGGGGTCATCGGATGCCCATTTTCCACAAGTTTATATGATTCTTTAGGGTCTTAATGAAAGGTCTATAACATACTTCGGTTCAAATTTCTCAATTGTAGTGTAAAAAACACCCTTTTTACCCTGTCAAAATCAGCTCTGTTTTCAGCAAGCTGTTTTAGTCCATGTTGCTTTAAATGCAAATGAGCTCTGCTGATCCCG